TAACTACACACAATGATATATGAGCATAATCACGTGGCTGCGGTTAAGGGTGTGCTAGCCAATAGAATATAGATTATGTAATAGCTAAGGTATTTATCCAAATAGGAACAAACACTACACAACTGAACTGAAGATTGAAGTCCCAAGTGCACTTCAGAAGCACTGTGAAAGTTACAGTACATATAAATCTCACACAACATTAAAGATTAAAGTGTCTTCTTGGTGTTGATCCTAAAGGGGGATCATCTTTTCATCTTTTCCCTTCCCATGTGAAATAGCTTGTACATTAGACAAATCCTTGGGGCAAAAAATACTCTTCAGCATCGACTCTTAATACCTCTGAATCCTTGAATTGACTTTTCCAAAATTTGATGCAGTAAGTCTGAACTGATGCTGTTTTAACCATTCAGCTGATTCACCTTGCAACACTGTTCTCTGTTCCAAAGAGTTAGATTCACTTTCATCTATGACTATGTGGTCAGTGAAGAAAGAAGTCAGGTCAGGCTGGTTTAAAATGTTCAGTTCAGTCAAATCAAAGGATGTCTTGTTGTCAATACCAACTGGGAGATCAATAAACTCAGAACACTGCACAGCAACATTGTCTGCAACAAAATTGCCCCTTGTGCGGTTACTAACAAACCTTGTATTGGGTCGACCATGGTCTTGTAACTGATATACCAACCAAGCACTAAGCGGAATATTTCCAAATACTGTGTTAATTAGGAAGGATTCTTTTTATCACTTAATATATAAGAAAATGGAGGAGGGATTTCTTTCCGTTCAGAATATCGACCTGCTCCATCACGTGGCACTTTGGAAGACCTTTTCTAGTGGCAAGGCGTCTTGCATCGTGCAGTTTACATTTGACAGGATCTCTCTTTCTTTCTTCATCACGATCGGTTTCAGCACGGGCATAATGAGTCCCCATTACAGGTAAAGGGCAGATGGAAGAAGCCCTAGGGATATGCCACGATTGAGGACGACTAGCACAAGTAACGTCAATAGGGACATTTTAATGTCTAAGCATGAATAATCATTAAGTTGATATAACAATGCCGAAACATGATTGCAGTGTCTACCGCTTCCTCCTTTACAAGACCTTTACAAGAGCAATGTGCTCTGGAAACTGCTGCCTTATCATTATCTTCCTTTAAAATTATTGCTAAATAATGCGGATCCTCACTCTTACGAAGCGATCGATAGCAACGTGTTTTCACATAAAAATCGCCGGATTCCTCGCACGTGTAAATATCATAAACAAACCCTTCTCGAAAAAACTTGTAGCTCTTTTCACCGGCATTTTTCTTTCGTCCCTGTGCCAGCCAGTCTGAACAAGTCAAAATACGGATTTTAGGGAAATTTCTCAAGGTTTTTGACCAATTTCTGATCTCAATAAAGTAATAACACGAACAGCACTGCACATGACTTCGACAACAGAAGCGTACAGCCGCCATTTTGAACTGATGTAAACACCCTATTCAAGCCACGTGACTTTTTAGCCGAATGTGTCTATTATTGAAGAGATTAACGAAGCTCTCCTCAAGGTGCGCAAATGGTGTATTAGAAATAGACTCTCACTCAATCAAATTGGTAAACAAAAATATGGAATTTGAAGTGCTCAGTAAGTTTATATTTTAAGTGCATGGACACATTTCGATTATTTTGTTTACAGAAACGAAGTTCTTATTTTTCATGATAACATGAGGAATGCACTACGAGCGCCCTGATTGGTCAAATACCGTAAAATTCCGGTTGTAAGCTCCTCAGCTTAAAGCCCACCTGGTTATAGGCCCATCTACTTGAAAACAAAAATATTCATCCGATTATAAGCCACCCCGGATATTAGCCCCCCTCTAGTTTTCCTTGTTTTCTTAATATTAAGTACTATTGCTGAACCCTGCACTACTTCGAGGGTCTCAATGGTGTTAACCGTTAGCCGTAAAACGGCCAAAATATTTAGCCGTTAGACGTAAAAATTGAAAAATTTTAACCGTTAGTCGTAAAAAAAGTTAACCGTAAAAAATATGTCTGGTGGAAACAATGGAAAGGTGTTAACCGTTAGCCGGAAATTGGCCAAAATTTTAACCGATAGCCGTAAAAGCCATCACCCCATTGAGACCCTCTACTTCAAACACAAAATTTGCAGTTGTGTACTGAAGACAAACTGGTTGCATTAGACAGGCGATTTCTTCTGACCAATTGGGTGGGTAGAGCGATGCAGGAAGTGAGTCAGAACAAAGAAGCCATCGTAAGAAGCTTCAAGAAATGCGGAATTTCTTTGGATCTTAGTGGATCGGACAATAATGAAATTAACATTGAAGGGATTCCCGACCACAAGCTAGATGCCATCACCTGATAAAGTCCTTGAAGATGATGTAGAGTTTCGTCTTGAGAGAGATGACTCAGACAATGACGTTTACGATGATGGCGACGAGTCCGAAGCAGAAAGCCAGGTCACTCAGTAAACTATGATGACGTCAAATTAACTAAGAGAATTAAGTGCAGGAAGCCTCGCCGTCATGATCTAGAATTATAATTTTTAATTTCCGGTTTGTTGCGTTCCGGTTAGTACGTTCACGATGTTAAGTTTTGATTTTGTTCCTAAAATTGAAATTCATTTGATGTATAATGAGGCTTTAAAATTTAATTAAAAATTAGTAAAATTAAAAAGGTATTTCGATTAACGCTGCTGTGGCACATTTCGAAACTTTTTTCAATTCCGCTCATAAGCCCCCTCCGTTTATAAGTGCTAGCCCACCTAAAACCTCTTAAGGAGTTGTATAAGCCCAGGGCTTATAACCGGAATTTTACGGTACCTATCTTTTATTATTTAACCCATATTAAAACTGAAGCATTTTAACTGTATTTTATAAAAGCAATAGACCCGTACGATAGTTTGTAAATCACGAGCCGGCGAGTGGTTCACAAGCTTTTCACGAGTTTCCAAACTCTCAAGGGGTTAATACGGTGGCCCACAATGCGGCAAAAGGAAGAACCTCACCACCAAAAGAAAGAACCTCACGGCAAAAGAAAAAACCTCACAGCAAAAACAAAAAGACTCACAACAAAAGAAAAAACCTCACAGCAAAAAGATAAAGACTTATGGCTAAAACAAAAGACTCACAGCAAAAGAAAAAGACTCACAGCAAAAGAAATAACCTCACGGCAAAAGAAAAAGACTCACAGCAAAAGTCTTTTTCCTTCGCCGTGAGTCTTTTCCTTTTTGCCGTGAGGCTCTTCTTTTTGCTATGAGTCTTTTTCTTTTGCCGCGAGGTTATTTCTTTTGCCGTGGCAGTTGTGGGCCACCACCAAAGGCTAACCCTTAGTCGTGAAACGGCCAAAAAAGTCTAGTCGTTAGGCGTAAAAAATTGACAAATTTTAACCATTAGTTGTTCATAAAAATTAACCGCAAAAAAATTTCTGGTTACCACACTGTAGGATCGACTAATGGCTTCCTGGCTCACAACGCGCACACCTGGTACCAGTAGGAACGAGTTCAGGCCCTGCATGTAAAGCCTTAATATTTTAGATCTCTGATTTCCCTGTATTGTCCTAATTTGAAAATCAATTCATTCTTCTCTTGTTGTTGTAAACAAATTTCAATTGTGTACCGAAAGAAAACCATGTTTACTTCAATTTTTGTTGGCTTCACTCTGTGATTGGTCAAGAAAGCTTCCGCCACTTTTTCAACCAATCAGACTCAAGACTAAAACCGAATGCCATTTGGTCACGCGTTTTCCCATGCTTCGAGCGGTTTGCTGGTTTTAACCATGAATTTTCATTTTTTCACGTGATTATTCCATTGTTCTGATTGGCTGTCGTGATTACTTTGGTTTGTTTTCACGTCAATGAAACGAATGCACTCTTTCACCATTATTTGCCCTGCTTAGTGAGCCTGTATGAACAACTGAGAACATGAGCTGTGTTCTGGGTTAAGCTATCGCATTTTAATCAAGATAATATCACCGACATCTTGCTGTGTTAACAACTTGGTAGTAACCAAACAAACAACTGGACCGGCTCAAGCAAAGAGACGCAATTGTTAGCCAAGAATTCAAGTCAAAAACAACGATAAGACAATTTAGCGTCAACCCCAAACCATCTCACTCTGGCTACACAACTGTCTCTGCAACATAACGCCGTCACTTCGCATACTAAGGTGGTTGCATTTCTGGTTGGCATGATAGGTTTGTGTTCTACCATCTAAGGTTCTCAAGGCTGATATACACGATAGTTCAAGAAGCTTGTGGCTTGATTTAGCTGATCAATTGTTTGGAGACTGGCGTTTTGTTTTCTCTGTTTGCGCATTGCTAGACAGTTGGACTCGTTAAAATAGGAAAGACACTTGGGAAGTCGTTTTGATTTGCATTTTCTGGGTGGTCACGACTCATTTTAAAAAGTTCAACTCGTCACAAATAGCTCAACTGAAATCTAATACAATGTAATCTTCTAAATCCCTTCTGAATTATGAGCAATCAAAGGCTTAGAAACATACAAAAGCTACAAGATTATGAGGGTTGAACGATACAAACTCCGTGTTGACCAATAATGAAACAACGTTCGCAACGGGTTTGACTGCCTATTCACGCATCTAGATTGAAACACACTTCCTGCTGTGGCCATTAAAAACATTGTGAATGAGCGAAACTATAGGAGATTATCACAGAGGATTTTAAACTACCGTCTTGTGGTAGGAAAATCATCCAACTGAAATCGAGCAAAGCTTAATTGGCAGAAAAAGTAGTCGTAGCTTGAAGCACTTTTGTCTGCGAACGTTCCTTGAGCGCTAAATATCATGCGATTTCAAACTAACGAACGTTACACACTTGTAAGACAATTTCTCTGACCAGGGTTGCCAAGGAAACGGGAGTTCAAGCCACCATGTGACAAGGTTAGTAAACGTATCAATATGCATGAAAGAACTTTGAAAGCGACACCGTGAAGACAACCGGTATTCGTGATGAATTTAACATGAAGTCAGCAAAGCGGGAAAAGGAGCAGAACATTCAATATTTGTGGCAAGATTGTCTGAAAGCAAACTTTCTTTTTCCCTCTCTAGAATTATAGCATTCCTACAGTGATTAACGAGAAAAGGTCTCGGGCGATGTCGCCAGGAAATTAGTACCAGAGACAGAAGACATTTGAAATACGCTGAGTTCTCGAGAATAATTAGTCGGTAAGTGATTTCCACTATAAGAGCCTAAATTGAACGCTACGCATCTCCTTTGAAGTCTATCTTTCGTTTTATTGAAGCACTTCTTTAGAATTATTTCACGCCATTGCCATTGCATTTATGATTACAGCCAGGATTTCAGACTAGGACGACGATCTTCGTTTTGAATTTGAACATCACGTCAAATGCATTTACTATATTTGTTCTTTCTTAATTGGAATTTACTTAGGTTTCTTATCGTTTTGTATTTTATGGCTTCTTTCCTTTTAAGGGTTGTAAGATTCTATGATTGACGCTAACTTGTGATTTTCGCCTTGGTTGGCAAACCACGTTTCTCACCAATGTCAGATGTTCAGTGATCTTTTGACTCGTAACTCATAGCTTGTTCTATTACTCCTATTGCAGGTAACATGAAGTTGTCTTCGTCTCTTCGAGTAATTCTTGGACTTATCTCTTTATCTCTCGTTTGCCAAGCTGAAGATGACTTTGACAAAGGTAAAATAACAATAGGATTATGTGAAAATCGGAAATTTATGCGAGAAAAGAGGAGAATGATAGCGATGTTTATACTAATTCACATTCACTGTATTTCATGTTTCATCTTGGTTTAAGCTTCGATTGTCTTAGCATTTTATTTCCATACGTGGCTGTTTAGATGTGTCTAAGAGGGATAAATATATGAGCCAACTCTGGGAATCCCACTGTGATACGAACAAATTCCGACATATTCTGATAGGATCTCCTTTATTATCTGAAGGAAATTTACTTAGACTGAGAGGGCTTCGGTGCCAAAATCTATTCTCTAAGAATTTACGGTTAAGAAGATAAATCTAAGGCCACCGTTTTCAAATCTGGAACTTAGCTATTAGTTTAAAATAATCGGGGCTTAATTATATACTCAATTTACCTGGATATTGAAATCAGAGTTACTTATTTCAAGAGTTCTATAATAATTGCCAAAATTTCTTTAAAGGATATACTTGTCTTACTGCTAAGCAGAATTATTGAGATTACCCGATAATAAAGATAAGAGAACGTTTAATTTAAAAGTAGAAGAATCAGAACATAGAATTACGCTGGCTATCGGGCGCCTTTCAAAAGACTCGTCAAATAGTTTATGTAACCTCAGCAAGTACAAGAATGTAGCACCTTGCAAGTAGAGAATGGTACCTGTGCGAGAAAAATTTAGGAAATGTGGGCAATTTCAAAACAAACTCTTCACTTAACGGTTAAACTGCAGAATAAATGGAAAAATAAATAGGCGATTTATTCGTGTTCTTTCTTGTTTAAACAATTGCCCTAATTATGTTTATTAACTGTACGTTTTTCGCTCGCGAAACTTTCCCCGGATTGTCTATGACTAATTCAAGAGCTTTCATCTTCAGATTTCAAAGGACAGGAAAGTTGCAAAACACAAAAACGTAAAAAAATTCTTGCTTGAGTTTAAGTTGATTAATTTGACTTAATTCAATTAATAAAAAAGTAAACTGGTCTTGGCCGTCCCTTTTTCGATTTCGTTGCAGGCGGAATCCTTTGCTACGAGGTCCAAGAAATGACACCGAGTCGGCTCTTTCAGTTACGACAACATAGAACTCGAACAAAGCAGACCCAGTTAGACGACCGACGCCAATTTCATTTAATTAATCGTGACCATTTAAGTTTCATAGTCAAAAATTCAAAGCCAAAATTTGAATTCGTCAATTCAAAGTCACTCTTCTTATTATCATTATTTTTAAGACGATTGATTTTTTTGCAAACAGAAGACATCTCGTCGGCCGAGCATCTTCTTCAAAAAATCGTTCCACTGGGCTCTATGCCTTCGATGCCAGACGGCTTCCCTTCCTTATCAGAGCTGAAAACAGACAAGTTTGAATACAGCACTAACAAAGGTAAAGTTACAGTTACTGCCGACCTGGAGGATCCCGTCAGCCTCCTTGGACAAGCAATGACTCTAAATGACGTGAAAATGACATTCAAGTATGACAAGAATAGACCAGAAGGGAAATGGCAGTTCAACGCGGAAGGTAAGTCCCCATCAACTTTATGTTAAAAAAGAATGATGTATAATTTCAACAGATTAACTTATCAGATACGACAATGCACATATAATCATCATTATGTGGTTAAGTTGACTAAAAATTCCTAAATAATAAATTGAAAGCGATCCTCAGAATTACCAAAACATTGGTCCGACGATCAAATATACCGTGAAATGGCCGGTGGGCAGTTGTGACCCTTCATTGGTATTGAGCTTGCTCTTGTTTACCATAAAAAACTATTTCCTTAAGATATAGTGGAACTGGGGTCTTTTAAATAGCCATAAAATCGCGAATGTGGTCCAATCTTTATAGCAATACCTATTTTGTAGCTATTTTTCATTACGTTTTCCACGATTTTCCAGTCGCATTCATTCATCATTTCAAAATTGTAGATTCTGATTAACGAAACTTTCTTATCTTTTCCAAAGGCAAATGGAAACAAGGCAACATGACAGCAAAAGTGAAGATCGAAGAGTCCAAAATTGGTGATCATCACACCATGGTGGCAGCGGCAGACAGACTTAACGTGTACGATGTTGCATCCGAGCTCTCAGAGAAGAAAAGTGTTGAACATGCAGGAATGAACGTCGATACTCTAAAGGAACTCTTTCTAACAGACGTTGAGATGTACTCAGTTTTTAAAGGAAATGATGATTATGTATTCATGATTTCTGGAGACCCGCTTCTCTCTGACACCCATTCTACCGATTGCAAAGTGTTCATACATAAAACGCCCGGAAAGAAAAGTGTGTTTTCAGTCTTGCTAGAGTTCAAACACGATCTCCCTTCGCGAGCTCTCATAAAACTCGTCAGTGATGACCTATTCAAGATCCCGTTCATAAACCACCTTATCGCAAAAACGCGAGTTTTCCGAAAGAGCCGCACAAATTTTGGCTTTGTTGCTTCAACGGGAGACGTTGACAAGCTTCCACTAAAGTCGTTCGGTGATGGAATCCTAGCAGATGAATTACAAGCTCATATTTCTAAAGGATTGACCCTCCTGCTTCCATTCCGCCTCGGGAGCGAAGAGAGGAAGCCGGTCAAAGTCGCAGTAGTTGTTAACCCTCCTTTGGTGAAATTCATAACTTCTCGCCACGAACAGGTCAGCGTGGAACAGACCTTGAAAGCATTGTCACCCAGTTCAAGAATAAGGGTCCTACCTAATGGGTTTCCAGATCTATCCTCTGTGAACATCGATCACTTCAGTTACAATATTCACCAAGAAACCTTCACTGTACACGCAAAGTTATCTGACACTGTCGCCGTAATTCCCGGCCTTTTGAACGTATCTGAGACAGATGTAACGTTTCGCCATCGAGTTGGAGATGAATTCAACACGTGGTCGTTTGAGGGTCATGGGGTATCGGAGCTGGGAGGGGCAAAGGCAAATATTACCTTGAAAACAGAGGAAGAGACTAAAGTTGTTTTTATCACAGGAAAGGCAGAAAAGATGTCGGTGAAGTTACTCGCTCAGCAGTATGGACTTTCGTTTATACCAGATGCTGAAAGTGATGCCATCGTTCAAAACAGTCAAATGAGTGATTTCGACTTTATCCAACCAAAAATCAAATCCGCCACCTCAGATAAGCAAAAGAATCGTTACATTCACATTTCAGGTCTTGGAAATTTCCCGGGTGTTGACAAAGCTACGGAAGCTGAAGCAGTCGTTTATGAAGACAAAGGGAAACTTAAGACATCCGTCGGTTTTATATTTCCAAAGATACCCATGCCGTTTATAATCGAGGCTTTGACAGGATATGATGTGGATAAGTTGAAAAAATTGCTAAGGAACAGCTTCAACACGTCTCTGGTTCTCTCTTTAGATGACGACGATTCTTTATTCGAGAATCCAACACTATCTGGACTCTCTTTCGAACGCGGAATCTCCATGGTTGGTCTCTTCCGAATGCCTGGGGAGTGCCGCCATGACAAGATGTGTAAGGCGGCAAAAAGCATGCTCGAAAGCGATCAATGGTACCGGATCCAAGGTCTTGTGAAACGAGATGGATTCAATCTGGCTGGGATGGTAAATCGCAACTATGTTTTAGGTAATGGCCTTGTACTGCGAGACAACATGCTGCAACTCACTATCAACGATGACTCGTCCTTTGATGTGCAGTCTAAATTAACATTTCCAAAAGAACAACTTTCCTTCGCTGGAAATATCAACTTTGACAACGGTAGTGTGGAGCTGTCCATGAAGAGCGAGGATGCTATTTACCGATCACACAACGGTGGATACTTGACATTCGATCAGCTATCCCTTAACACTGAAATAATGAATTCAGTTCCCTTGCAAAAGCTTCCGCTAACAGGAAGAATGACTCTTGGAAAGTCAGGCAGTGGACATGAAATAACGGCACCCTGTTCAATCTCTTATCAAGCAATGCAACCAGACTATAGCCGAGTAGAGTCCAAGCTATCTGAGGTCACAATGTATCACGTTGCAGAAGCTATGGGAATCAACGCAACTCTTCCCTTTCCACTTGCCTATGCACCCTTCGTGGGTGGTTTGGAAGTGATCTATGACCCAGCTATGAAAACCAAAACCAATCTCACCATGAGAGGAAAACTTCATATCTTTGATCGGCATTTTGACTCTGCGGTTGAGATGAATAACTCTGATCATATCCATCTGACGTCCTCCTACACTAAGTCTCCTTTCGTGTTGTCCGATGGCTTTATTGTGGTGCAAGAGAGCAAGGAAATATCTAAAAGTGGCCCGAGATTAGATGTCAGCATTGCTCCGTTTGATGTCAAGGTTAAACTTGTTGGATTTGCCAGAGTTCTTGGTACAGGATCTCCAACAGAAATAAAGATTTCTGACTCTGGTACAGAATTTCCTGTTCAGGGAAATCTATTTGACATTTCGTCGACTGGGTTGTACGTCTCATCTCCAGAAGTTTTGGGAAATTCTGAGGCATCCTCATTTCAGGTGAAAGGGTAGTTAGACCATAGGTATACAATGAATAAATCAAATCAGATAAGTTCCAAAATTTGAAATAGCAAAGAGATTCGTGGAAAATAACTGCTTGATGACGATCTTTATTGGACATGGATTAGAGTAAACTGGCCAAGGAAAGGAAAAATGGAGAAAAAAATATAAGCAATGCCTTGAGCAGTGTAAATTAATTGAACAAGGTAGATATAAGGCTCCTAGATACGCTATAAAACATTCTCTATCCCACATTTCCCATTTGAATAAAATCTAACGATGTTTTCAATAAATTTTTCCTTTCATCACTTGAACTGCAAACGATAGGCAAGTGAAATAACATACCTGGCATCATTGGTTTCATAGACTTTTTTCAGTTTGCGAAAAAAATAGTCTCCCTAAATTGATCTCAGAAATTTTTATTCTTTTGTTAAACGTATTTATTGTTTGAATATTTTAATCTCAGGCTTATGGATGTCTTCCTGGTATTCATGACAAGGTCCTCAGTGCAGTAGATACGTTGATCAAGGCAGCAGCCACAGAAGCAGATAATTTCATTCATCAAGCAACAGACAACCTCAAAGAAGCTAAGAACTACTACCGCAAGGCCACAAAGAACGAAGAATACTATAGACAAAAGCTGGACGAAGAGGAGAATATTCTGAATGAGAGAAACAGAGAAGTTTGGCTGGCAGAGCAGCGATACAACAGCAGCTGTAAATTGAACCAGTGCACGAAGAGTAAGTCGTAGGGCGAACTTTCTTTCAAACTTGAAGTGTTTTGTTCGGCTTGTTTTTGTTTAATTTTGTTTTTGTTTTTTGTTTGTCTTCTTTTCTTTTCTGTGGAGGGGAAAATGTTTAAAATCTCCGATCATAATCAATGCACAAAGGATAGAAAAAGCATTAGCGAAAGTTTTTTCACTTCTCTTTGTCTGTGTTTAGAGGAAGAGTTTCCTACCCTGCTAGCGGAAGACTCGTGCCTCTTCCTCTATTCAATGTTTTTTTTTTCGAAATGCAGGCTGCATTGGTTGCCCTGATTGGAACAGATGTTGCACTCGTGATGTATTTGGTAGCTGTGTTGAGTGTCCATCCTGGAATAAATGTTGCTACAAGACAGGAGACCCCGTATGCGTTGCAAGCAACCACGGCTGTGATCATATAAGAAGGGTGGCCAGCGGTAACCTTGAGGATGCCAGAGTACGTATAAATGACTTGAAACCTAAGATGCAATGTTTCATTAAAATATTTGTTTGAACTGTTTCCTTTTCTGTTTGCGATCAATTCAGTTGATGAATCATCGAACCTTATGAAATGTTGCCAATCTTTTTACTCTGCTCTTCGATTGACCGTTTTAATTACTTTGCGAACATGAATTTAATTTTTGGCATTTTCACTTTTATCAAGAGGAAACAACAGCACTTACTCCCTTTTTTCGTTTACCTCCACTCCTAGGACATCTACTTCGACCAGAAACGGCGAGTGAACAACGTAACTCAAAGTGTTTTCGACGCTGAATTTTCCAAAGGCAAAACAAAAGCAGTTTTGGACGCGGCTGGCAAGGCACTTTCGTTAATCGATCGGGATTCCACTATTGGTATTGAGGCATCAAAATCTATTAAACACGTTGGTCTAGAAAACGTGCTCAAAATACAAAGCATTTGTTTCCAGGCCCCTGTTGATTCCTTGGCAACCAGTTGCATTAATATGAGTGTGAATGCTAGTGTCATGGGCTCTGATGAGGTCAAGACGCTACCCTTTCACGCATGCCTCAACAAAGAGTTGGTTCCCCGGATGGCACGGTTCCTGGCAAACTACTTGTTTCCAGATATTGGAAGTTCTAAGCAAAAGCGGAGCCTGATAAATGAGGAGAAAAACTCTTTGCCTGATTCTGTCCGAGGGGAAGGGAAACTGACAACTTTCTTGAGACGTCGTGGATTAGTAAGGAGGACAAGAGATGCCGAAACAGCCGATGAACGTGAAAATATTGAGCCGTTCTGGGACCTTATTCAACAGCATGATCCCTTGAAGGAAGTGAAGAAGGGGGCACCTCCAAGTCACCCCAGCATGGGAAACCTGAAGAGAAAGTGGAAGATACCAGGTATTTTTGTATCACAGCACTTGATTATTGCTGCTGTCGTTGTTTTGTTTGCTTTTTTAGCTGTTATTTTTGATCAAGGTTATGTTGTAGCCAGGAATTTTTCAAAACTTTTTACATAATCTCCCTTTTATGGCTCAAGATCATGATGTTGTAAAGGTTTTCCGAGAGAAAGCCACTTGTAGGGTAAAACAGATCATCTGAGGAACCAGATTTGTTAACAGTATTCTTATAAAGTACAAATACTGACTTACAATGCCCGCGAACACAAAATAAAACAAACAAAACGAAACATTTCGCCCATTTCTTTTAGCTACAAAAACCGGGAAATGCAAGATTTATCATCAGTTGCTGGATATTTGTCGCGATATGATGAAGACAGTGAAGAAGATGTACGGCACTTACATGTACGAGCGATACCTTTTCGCAAAGGAGAAAGATCACTTCACACGAAAGCTGAAGAGGGTCACGAAACAGCTCGAGATTTCTGGTATGTTTTGGCG